TCATGAAACGGGGATCCCATTGTACCTGCGGGGGATCGTTTCTTCTTCTCTGGGGATGGTAAGGGAGCCGGGAGGGGGTGCGAAGGATTTTTCTACGAAGGCGTGAAGAGGCTCGTGCCCTTTTTGGTCCGGTGCCACTCGAAAAGCCGCTCGAAACACACAAAAACCGAGAGGAGCATTATTTTCGCGAGGCGTCCTCTTTCTCGTCCCTCTTCTTTCCCATCTCTCTCGCGCTTGAGTGCTGGAGCATCGTTTGAAAGAGCGGCCCAAAAGAAGGGTGCCCGTAGTGGGCCACTTTGTCAACTTGTCACCTGGGCCCCGAAGATGCGAAAGAAAACGAACGAAAGGGGCCCCTCGGGACGAAGGGAACCCTCGTTCTTGTTCGCACTAGGAAGTCTTGACTCCTCTCTTCCTGGAGACGTTTCTCTTCCATTTTTTCTCCACCGTTTTCTTCGAGCTTTAGGGTTCGTTTCGGTTTCCCTTCGCTTTTGTTCTCCGTTAGGTTCATTGGAACGATCGTTCGATATTCAAGAGGGAGATCTTTGGGGAAATTGCTTATCATTTTATCCACGGAAGAGTCAATGGCGAAGGATATAAATAGATATAAATGCAGGAAACGGGGTCGTGCATGTTGTTGGGCACGCGTGACTCCACACACGGCGATATAAGTGTCACAGGAGAGCCCGAAGTTCATACTCGTCGAATGGACTCGCATATGAGAAATCCAGGTGGACGGTCGTATAGGTGCGAGGTTAATTAACGACATGCAGGTAACCTGTCGGTATTGGACACGCGTAATAGACGTCCTGTTAACGGGAATCAATGTAGATTCGCTAATACATTAGCCTGTCGGATAAATTTCTACTCGATCCAGGAAAGTTGCTACAGCCCCTTCACTTCATCTGCGTTTGATAATTGGAATATTGTCGTCGCCTATTTATTTATATCGCGCCTGACTCGGTGGATAAGAAGTGAACGGAAGATGAACGGCCAAGAAAATTTGAGGATAAAGATACAGAACATAGAAGACTTTTCACTCTTTCGTTTCTTTGCTTGTCTATTAAATAATGCTTGTTCGTTGATTGTTCATCGCAACAACGCAGCTTGATCCAGTGTTTTGCTCTAAAGGAATTAGAAGAAACAACGGGGCAAGTCCGTTCGACGCTATTTAGTTGGCAAACGCATTTCGAGTAGCGGCGAATAAACTAATAAATTCCTCTAACGAGAACTTGTGAATTCAGATAAGTCCTGTTGGATGGCGACCTTCTCGAATCGGGGGAGCTACAGAGTGTTCGTTTCTAATTGGCTCGCGTGTTTGTTCCTAGCTGATACGAATTTACGTCTCGTGTCCGTGAAATACAGAGAATCCTCCAGGGAAAGTAGTCGAGCGCACACGAGGACGGTGTTAACGCTAGAGGAATCGTCTGGCATTAAACAAACTGGGACGTTGTATCGGAATCGATGTTTCAACTTTATCCACAGTGTAGGGTGGTGTGTATGAGAAACAAGGATACAGCGATGTAACATCCTCCTTTGTATGACGTCACTTTCAGTTCGATGCGACGGAGCAAAAATTTGGAATTTTAGTCGCGTCTCGGTGCGAGCAATTTGCCTGAAATTAAGTTCCCATCAAACACTCAGCGCCAGTGAAAGGAAGACCCGCTGGTCGAAAATCCTTGAAAGTTACACTCATTGTTGGCCTGGTGGGGACGAGCATTATCGTTATTACCAGCATGGTCGAGCCCCGAGCGACATTGGTGCCGTCGTGGACAGGCGCTGGAAGGGAAAGAAGAAATATCGGTTTCAATGGGCACCGTGTCGCGTACCGAAAATGACACGAAGCCGCGAATACCGTAGGAAACCCCATAGCGGGACCCCTGGAGGACCTCCCGTCGACAGGCTTTCAAGTTTGAAAGTCATACCCGGGTGGTGGCTTCGCAGTCGACAAGGGGACCGAAACCGAAACCACTCGAGAGCTAAGAATGGGGCCTCATGGCCATCCTGAATAGAGGCGTGTACAAACCCTGGTGTACCAGTCTATGGACGGCCTCTCCGCGAACCTCGACGATCCACCTTTGTGTAAATAAGGCAATAAGGCGAAGGAAGCGGGATTATTCTTCCCTAAGTCCGCTGATCCGATTATAACGAGTGGGTATCGATTCCATCGGGTTGCCAAATATTTGAATGAGACCAAGAGCCTCTTCTATGACTTACTTTGGGAAGTGTACTCGAGTGATGCCCAAGGCGCCAGAGGCTTCGAGAGGAGTATTACAAGTTTTAGTATGGAGTTGTGCAAGGTTATCGAGGTTGGTTCACAAGTTCACGAGTACCAATTTTTTTTTTTTACCTACAAGAAAATGATTAACCCTTGAACCCTGAGGGTGTGTCCACTTTAGGCGGAGTTCTATAACCTAAACTAACAAAAATGAGAAATTCCTTCAGTAAATAAATGATCACTTTAGAATTGGTACTCGCGTATATCCTTCCGTGAGAAAACTGATTCTCATAATAAACCTCAAAAATCACGCCCCTGACAGGCCGTGCGACTGCAGGATGCGACCTAGGACCGGGTACAAATGGGAGGGTACAGCGTTCGCTATAACTCATGGGGTTGGTCCTGTGACGAGACCGCGTCTCCGCGATAGGCAACGCACAGGGATACTTGCAACACGCGCGCACGTCGAGTGTTGGATGTAGGTACAAGGGAAGCACCTACGGCTTTGTAGGTATTACGTTACAATGCCATTATGGAACTCCCGTGCGCCACCATTGTAGGGCCCGCTGTGACGTATGGTTAACCACCGACCATAACCAACCAAATGTTCGCACGTCCTAACCACGGATGCGTTGAAAATTCTCCCTAGTCGAAGACATCGCCCTAGGAACGAGGAAGGGGGTGAAAGTTAGAGACGTAATTAATAATCCTGCATTTAGGATTCGATCGAATTAAAGTGATCAAACTCAGAAATTTGGAGCGTTGATCGTATTGGAACGTTTAACAACGTCAACGATACAATGCATCGGAAGCACTTGCATCGAACGTGTGCCTCCCGACTTGTATTTAAATTTTCCAGTTATTTGTCCCGATTCAATGGAGCTAGCTTCGAATTTCCGACAAAAGCGTAATTTTCGGGGTACCCACGCGTTTTAGCGAGATTAGAAAATCGCGGCAGCGCTGGCTCTATTGCGTTACTCGCCCGTTAATCTTCCAGCTTTGGGTCCTTTCTTCCGTCGTAATAAATCCGCCGTTAAAATATTGCCGGCGTTTCGACTGTACGCGCGCGTGTGGACGTGTGTTCGCGAACGACGTCCACACCCACACCGCAGAAGGTTGGGTCAGGAGAGAGTTATAGGTGACAATAACGAGGCACGGTTGCATGCGAGGCGGGATCGTAAAACGGAGGATTAGACTCCTTTCGGCTATTAGTCTAATATATGTCTTCCGATATCCAAGGGGTGAATCGCGCAGAGAAGCGCAGATTCGAGCAAAGGATCGAGCTTGGGTAAACACTGACAGGTTACTCGAGTTTGGGGACGATCGACTGCTTCTGTTAACGCTGAATTAGAGTCCCTCTAATCAGAGTCACAGAATAACGTCAAGGTTACGTCAGTTAATTCCACGAGATTCAACTTCATAACTGTAATAGTGTTTATATACTGAAGTCCAAGTTATTTTTTCAGAGAATAAGACTAAAACCACAAAATTCAATTGTTTTACGTATTGTTGAATTTAGTATGACGTCAAATATTTTTGTATTCAATCGAAGAGAGTGTTTTTAAGACTAGTATAAATGAGAATATAAGTAATAATAGGTACAAATGAAGTCTCAGTAGGTTTAGCGTTGAAGCCAGATTGAATCGATCGATCTGACACGATTGTCCGTGCAAAACAATATATAATTGCACGACAAAGTCAACGTCCCCCCATTAGCCTCCCCGACACATTGTGTCACCCTATCCTACACGGAATCCAACCACCAAACCATCGGATGTTCTTGTCACCGAAGCAGTGGCGCGTTTGATGGATGCGTCTGTTCCAATCAATCTGTTTCGACGCGGTTTGCCACGGGTTAGGTCTTCCTTTCCCATCTTTTCAAACCCATTTCTGTCGTGCACTTACTGGTAACGCCATTTGGAACACCTCTTTTTAACTTTTTCCTGTTTGGATTCCTCTACTCTACATTTCCTGCTGCGTGCAAGTCCCGCAGGCGCATTTATTGCCTTGAATTAACCTTCGAAAGCGAAATTAACCCTTGACGATGGTTCCAACCGTGACACCCATCGGTGTTCCTCAAAAACCTCCGAGCGTCCCTCATCCCGTCGATCATCGGTGTCCCCGCTAATTCATAGTTTACAGACTCGACGTGTCGAATGGCGGGTCCTGGTAAACGATCCGGTAGGCAGCTGGTCAAGCGAAAAGGGCGCCCCGCGGGGAGCGTTACACGTTGGCAACATAACTGCGCAGACTGGAAGGTAGCCCTCGAACCCCCTTGGTCCGAAGTCAATGTTCCCTTTCACTATGGTGACAAGCATCCCCGTGCCTCCTCGTAGCGTACTGTCGAGCATTGTTGTGCACGCAAGTTTTCTCGGGCAACTGCGGCCACCGGTTCTAATATATGTGGCCAGCCCACCCCGTAACATCCCCTCGGATCAGGCCTCCGTGGGGGCTGCGTACGCCAATGGGACGCATAAATGGGCATCCAGCCGCCTCCAGGACGTCTCTGTCACCGTGTCGGTGGTCTTGTTACGACGACTCGTGTCGGATCCACGGTTTGGATCCACTGGCTAAATGATTTTCGAACGAGGGGGGCGTGCCGGGTAAATATACTTCCAGCTGGGGGGAGGGAGTGGTTGCTGAGGGGGTTGGTTCCATCTTCTTACGCGTCACGTTTGCAACGATGATCGATTTTAGTAGAGTCGAGAAGACAAAATTTAATCACAGTAGAAATTTTCAAGAACATTAGGATCTCAGCTTCGACCGCGGGAATTTGTTCCTTACGTACCATGGTGCGTCTACTAACATTTTTGTCTGTTGTTTCAGACGGAAGTGGAGGACATGACGAGCGACGGTGTCTGCGACGGAGGCGGATCGAACCTCGCTATCCCCGAGACCACTGGCGGTCTGATAGGACCCGAGATGTCCCCCAGCGTGATGGAGTGTGGTGGTTGCGGAGAACGTGTCCGCGAGAGAACAGTTCTTTGCGTCGGCGGTCGAACTTGGCACTCGAGGTGTCTGAGATGCTGCGCCTGTGCCAGGCCTCTGCACGATCAACACTCCTGCTTCCTGAAGGGAATGCGGCTCTACTGCAGGCACGATTACGCTCTGTAAGCGAATGATCCATTTCTAAACACTTTTCTCTCATGAATTTCATTGTTCGAATCGATCTCGTTGCCAAATCAACTTGGGCTACGTCCAATCATCGATTTTACCTTATCGATTTCGTCGTGCGACTGGGAAAGAGTAGAAGGAACTGTAGGAACTATTAGGAACTTCATATTATCCTAAAGGTGTTTCATGCTTCATGTTTCGCGCGAGCCTACAGAAGTGTACACATCACATTTTAATCTTCCAATCAATTTCCTCTTCGATGTCGATGCACATATCCACTGTGGACCTCAACAGAGAGTATAGGATGAATTTTATTCGAGTTTTTCTTCCTTGGTGTACACTGATTTCCGTGTCCGATAACACAACAACGATACTGGTCGCGCGTCACGATCGGATATCGCGATACCGTGATTTGGATAGGTCGATGCAATACGGCCAGGTGACCAGACCAACTGTGATTGACAGTTGGATAAACACGTTGGAAAGTCTTCGACTTCGACTCCCTGTCCACAATCGACCAGTCACCTCGAGCTTCTTTCGCTCCGAACGCCTCCCTGTATACTTTCATGGCCCCACTCCCAACGAAAATATTCGAAAGCCTCGATCGAGTCTCTATCGAACAAACAGAGGCTCGTGTGTCGAACAATGTATCCTTGTGCCCGTATAAAATCTAAATCGTCCACGATAGCTTGGATAGGACTTTAAAAAGAGCGTAAAAAGAGGAACAAAAATGCAATGTATGAAAATTTAACGCTAACTTGTGTTAGCCGAATAGAAATCAATTTTCAGGTTGGCTACCGCTCTAGCTTCAAGGATTTATGCGAGTAGAAAGCGGAGAATGGCCACTTTCCCAAGAAGGCGTCAAACTTACCCGAAAAAGTTTGTGATTTGCCACTAAGTCGTGAACTTATCCACCCTGATCGCATAAATCAGTGTATATTAACGTCTTACGTGGCATATTTTGCGTCAACAGTTACTCACTCGCAACGCTTGTTGAACGTTAATTCAAGGATGATGAACGATGAAGTAAAAAATGATTACGTTATCGTAATGAAAAATATGTTACTGCTCTATCGGATTAGTACACAAAGTTCTTCGAGTCTCCTTTGGGAATCCCTTTGCATCTTTATATATACAAAATTGAATCTATCTACAAGTTTCACAGCCCACGAGTGAACTGTTTATCGACAGAAAGCAAGTTGCGCCGCGTGTCCAGTATGTTAATACGCTTAGAAATTATTTTACGAGACAATAAAAAAAATATCGCACCGTGTATAAAGACGTTAACGTTAATTTACACTCGCCTGTCGTCGAATTAGAAAAATCCTTGACAGGTTTTCGCGCGGACAGAAGTGGTCGATTCGTTTTCTCCGCTGAAGAATCGAGCATCCACAGTCACCGACTCTCGCGCAACGACTCTCTATTTATTATATCGATAACTCGAACACCGCGCGCTACTTTTACCATGCTTTATTATTCGACCGATCGATCTATCGGGGATTAAATATTTTACAGGCATATTCACTTTCTCGTCGCGTCGTTATCGCGATAATTGAATCTGTTTCCACGCGCTACATCGCGGTTACAGGAAAGCGTAGATCTTTGGCGACATAGTGGCAATTACGCGCACCGTGGCCCGGGATTTATGTTACTTGTCTCGCTCTTATGTTTCTACGGTAGCTAACACGTCGTTTCCTTGCACTGGTTCGTTAATAATGTCGGCAGATATCTGCATTAGTCAATCTTCGAGCGGAGGCTACCTTTTTGAGTTGGCGACGTCTCTAATTCCCGCTGGGAATAATTTGTTACGTACGACTGGCCGCTCTGACAATTCCGAGACAAGCTTTAATTGAGACGTAGTATGCAAATTCAGGACATAATTATTCATATAGGTACAGGCGGTTCTTTTTAGTCTCGACTCTCGATTTGGCGAGGTGTTTGTATCTCTGCTGGAGTTGGATCAACTTGATCGTGATATGGAAGATATGTGCAGTCGCGTGCTCTGCAATTTGCGAACAATTCATTAAGTAGCACTTGTCCACCCATATCGTCACTTTGAAAATTGCCAGGCTAAAACTCCTGAAAATTTCTCCGAGATATATTTTCGTCTGTCGAAAATATCGACATTGTCGAAGACTAGATAATTTAACATTAGTTTTCAGTATTTAATTTTTTTGCCCTATTTAATTCACAAATCCTATCCAAAAGTTTCATTATCGTCTCACTTTTTGCCTGTCCACCCCGAATCCTCGAATAATTAAAAGCCAAAGCTCGCAGAAAGTCACCAACCAAACAAGGCTCAAACTATTCCGATGCACGCGACAATGGCAATAATTATTCACGGGATATTGAAAGACGACGAGCAACATATTTCATAACCGGCATAACAGCGTCGGGAGGCTGGAAGCGCAATCAGAAATTTCGCAACGGTGTCGGCGTTCTCTGTGAAGACAGTTGCCGGGATTTTTCGAGCCGTCTGTCTTTGGGGAGTCAAAGTCGTGTGTGCGGGAGGTCCCGAGGAATCCGCAGCGTAATTTTTTCGACTCACTCTTTTCGCCTTGTAATGCTGGCTTACGATGACCCGGTCGACAGGATCCACGACCCGTAGACCCGTCGACAAGCGACTTGGAAAGAGGCGAAGCCACCTTCTCGATCTACGCTCTGCCCGCCCCGTGATAAATGATCGAAAACTATACCGCCTGGTCCCTCCGAGCGGCAAGAGACATCGCTGCGGAATGTTCTCCCCTTCTCGATTCACAATTGAAGTGTTGATACAATGTGACCTAATTAATACTATCAGGTTGTAACACGCGAATGGTACGTTCGAACGGGTGCATTCTTCGAAGAGTCGAACGCTTGAAAGGAAGTAAATAGTTTCATTTATCGCTCTGGTATTCGAATTGATATTTTGGAAGACATTAACCTTGAAATGTTGCGGAGGAATGCAGCCACCCTCTTTGGGGGCCTACTAGGCAAAGCCACCGAATCAAAGGAGAGAGACTATATTCAGAGAATGATTCAGAATAATTTTCAGTGCCTCTTATAAAAGATAGATTACACCGGTATAATGGGTTTCCATCTTCCTCGACGTGGAAACAATGAGTCCCGAGGACCTGCTAAGAAGCTTCCCGCAGGGATTAATTTTCATTGTTTTTGACTCGAGCTTCCTCGAGATGGGATCTACGAAGGCTACGAGAGGAATCTCGCAATCGACTTCGGCTCAAAATTTAAATCCCTTCCTAGACGTCGCCGTGGGCGTTGACGAAGAAGTTCCTGTTGCAGGGAATGAATTCTCTGCTGGAGGAACAATGGGATTAAAATGCACGCGTACACGTATTTCATTCGGTTCTTTGAATTTACAAATCTCCCTTCGATGTCAACTATAAAAGACAGATTGGTGAAAGTGGTGAACTCTGGTCGATACTTGGACTACAAATCACCCTTCTCAACCTAAAGGTACACTTTCCTAAGGACAACTCGGACCAAAAATGACCTATCTCCAACGTTTCCAGAATGAATAATTTGTTGTTTACCTTAGATAACCATAACGAAAATGTGCCACAGCTACGAAACTCTCGACTTCATTAGCTACCCCGATACCGATCGTGCAAATATCTCCTCGCTACCGGTCGCGGAATGTCCTCTTAATCCCGCGAGCAGTTGTCGCATCGTAACAGCGTGCTAAATAGTCGTGGATCTAGCCTACCAGTACCCTCGGTACTTTCTCTGTCTGGATTAGGGTGGTGGGGCCACCAGGGTAGTCGCGTGGCCCCATAAGATATCCTCCCGAGTTCGTGGCGCGGAGGGGTCGAGGGATTCGCGAACACAGCCCGTATAAACAGCTAGCTGGATCGTCGCCGGGAGGAACCGAGACGAGGAATCGGGATGCACTTTCCGTGTTCATGAATATGATAATGGGCTAATGGCCACTAGTCGTTGTTTAATTACCAGTCGCGGCGCACACAACGACCACACCGGACTCGGCCGTGAAGCCACCGTCGTGCTTCTGCTTGTCGTTTCGCCAGCGGATGCACATCTCCGGGTGCCTCCTCCTCGGTGTGCACCCATAACACCCACCATTCGAGCCATTCATCTGACCGTGCGTGCGTGTGTCGTGTACCATGCTCGTGTCTTGCCGCTACACGGCTACCGTTTACACCGGCGTAGCTCCCAGCGCTTTTTCGACGGAACCAGCGACACGGGGGTGTCCCCGCGAGGGGGTTTCGATCCCTGCTCCACCGGAGGAATCGCAGAACGACGGAAGGCTTCGAGTGGAGCGCGTTTCGAGAAACGTTGACCGTTGTTTATCGTAAACATGGCCAGTAAGAAACCAGAGAGTAAAATTGCAGTGGTCGAGAGCGAAGTTGAACATGTCTCGCTAGGGTCGAAAGGGTTATACTAACTTAACGACGACCTGAGACGGGGCTTCAACACATAGTCTCCAAACTAGTTGATACAATTTCTGGCGAACTAATGATCCTCCTAGAACTACTCGATGAGGTTATGGATGGAGAGACTAAGAATCCAAGACTGCCTTCGATGTTTTTGTGTCGCTTCCTCCGGTACAACTAGACAACCGCAGGAGTTCGTGGGAGTATAGGAAGAACCAAGTGGCAGCTAAACATGCGCCACTGGAGATCACTTTCCAAGCCGAGAGAGCCAAGTTTCTCTTCCTTCGACTCTCCTCCGTACCTCTGTGCTCCTCTTCTTCCTCGAAGGCGCTTTCTAATACGATTCTCTTCCTTCCCGATTCCTTTGTTTCTCGTTTTATCCTCCTCTGTTTATCCTACGCCCCATCCAAATGTTTTCAATTTCTTACTTCGCTGATCTTCATAGCTATTTACGCTTCTCTCGTTTCTGAGACTGCTCACTACCGAGGCGTTCGAACTTGATTTATGGGTTGACAGACAATTGATTGGCTCCGACTGAGATTGATCGGAGGAACGAGGTTGGCTTTCCGCTTACGAACTTCATCCTTTTGTATACTCCTGTGTGCGCTGGAAAGGGGCTTGGACGTTTCTTCGTTCATTTTGATCGATTTTCTGCGTTTTAATAATAACATTTTATTCGGCGTAAGTCACCATACGTTCTTCATATTCGCGAACAAGCAATAATGTTAACGTGTGACCATTGACATCCATCAACAGTGATCCTATCGTCACGCGGAATTATCAACTTTAATTACGAATAAATCAGATCGCCCCAGGGTCGAGCTGACCTTCACCCCCAATTTTTCCCGGCTGGTTTATTCGTCCCTATCCTCCGCATAGCTGGTCTTCCCCCTTTCTCTCCCCTTTTTCTATCATTCCTTCCACTTCCCCCTTATCGCGGCTCGGTTTGCTCCTTTTCGGCCCCAGGTCCTTTTTTACCCTTGTGTCCCTCGACGTGCTCCGCCGCGCAAGTTTACATACACGCAAACATACTCTTCGGAGTCGCAGCTCGCGCTTCGGGGTCCAGGAGTCGTTTATTTGTCGCGGGGACGACATACCCTCGCCTCCTTCCAGGTAAACGCGCGTTCGTGCGCGACGCCTTATCTAAGACCGCGGCGGAGTGCTCTCTCATTGGAAGTACGAATTATTTCTGCGACCATTCACGCGAGATAATCACTCGCGGCGGGGACCGTGCGAATATCAAAGGGCAACACTTTTTTGACGCTCGGAAGATCTCTCTCTCTCTCTCTCTCTCTCTCTCTCTCTCTCTCTCTCTCTCT